GTTCCCGCGAGCTGTGAGGCGGAAATCCCAATGATTTCATTTCGAACTGAAGAGACACAGCGCCTCCCGCAGGGTCCCTGCGCACCCTGCCGTCAGCTGGAGAAACGATGCAGGACCTTGAACATAACTAGAACACGACCTGGGCCTCAGGCCTGCGTCTGAGAACTTAGTATCCGTTCTCGAAACCTCAAATTTCCATTGAAATGAGTTACGAATCCACTGAACAGTCTCCATCCGTGGCCGTGTAGTGCAGGGTCGCTGCGTGCCGACCTGCGAGGAGAACGTCATAGGCCTCATCTTCTATCGCTTGGTGCTGACGAACGGCGTCGTGATGTGCATTGTCGAAGTCATCGTGGCGCTCACCCTGATGGTGCTGAAGCGGAACTCGGAAATCGACAACGCCAAATTTGTGATATTCATCATCGAAACGCAGGTGCCCACAACCGGGGTTGCTTTCGCTCAGTGAATTAGCAACACTAATGAGCGGCGCCATTAAAGTGAACCGCGCACAGCGCGTGACGCGCACAGTAACACACGTGCACGTGTGTACACGTGTATCGAAGCGTAACTGCGCTGTGGACCGCGGGCTTCCTGCGCACATCAGCACGGACTTTGCAGTGACACCACAAGGGATCTGGTTGTGTGCAGATGTTGAATTGGTGGAAATTTTCGATTAAGAGACTTCTCCATGACCATTTTGCATGCTCATCATACTCGACCATTATCGTACGCACTTGAATCAGCGTGCATTTAATGTAAAGTGAGCAGATGCATAGTTTAACAAATTGTTGAATTTCCAACAACAATCATATACGATGCTAACCTGAACCTGACAACTTTGCGGCTGCAGGATGGAGCATACAACAGTAAGCCACGGCCAAATGAGCTTGCGTATTTTTGTATTGATATGTTTATGGATTCGATATTCGTGATTATTCATTAAATTCAGAGTAATCGCATGTGTCCCTCCACAACTGCAGCGCTGAATTCTCCCTGGTGTTTCAGGCTTTGGTTTGGGCGGGCACGGCGTATGCGCCAGCGCTGCCCTTCTTCGGAGTTCTCTCTAACGTACTGAGCTTTTACACAAAGACATGGCTAGCAATGCGGGTCTACACCCCACGCAGCAGCACCTGCACGGCCTCCAGGAATTCCAACATGGCATACAACCTAATGCTGCGTGAGTGGCGCGCCCCGCAATGCCCACACAATATGAACTATGGTGCAGATTACACAAAAGAAGCCATGTAACTATGCACGTAGATAATTTGGAAAATATCTACTCAACTAGTTCAGTCAAATTGCCAATATGCAGTGCACTACGCCAGGGCGAAAACTTGACTCTTGCTTTGACGGAAACCGCCTTGCTGTTCGGCTTTTACTCAAGCATCAACAGCACAACAAGATGTCGGCAATTCGGCACGCATTACATGCGAGTATATGCGTTCATGCTTGTCCCTGATGTCGGCATAAGCTGCGCAACATTGCATATTTCATTCCTTGCTTAGATCATTTCTGCCCGCCACATGTTGCAAAGGAAGGGCGAACTGTATGAGTAGAGAATACCATCGTCTTGAATTTTATTAGTAATTTCATAGCATGGATAGATGAAACTGCTGACCGCGGTTTTCGCTCCACTTCCACGTGCCACGTGCACACGCTGCCTTGTCAAACACAAGCTGGCGATCATCTATTGCACTCAGAATGACATGGTACAACTGCTCGTGTTCAAAATCTAATCAGAAAATAGCAGAAAATAAGTATGCGAATGAACAGCAAATCGACAGCATCGATGCACGAGAGACACCCCTCACTTCCAGCATGGCCAATGAATGATTCAGGCAGCCCGTCAGCACTGAGTGCTAGCGGCTGGCCTCCACAGTGACGCTTCTTCTGTGCAGCGTGGTTATCGTAATGGGTCTGCGGGCGACACGAGATCTGTGCGGGCCTCACGTGGGCACGTCCATGGCGAAAGTCGTCACCGACGCCATCAACGACTCGCCGCCGGTATGTTCCCTATCTTTAACTAAATTGAAGACATCCAGCATAGCCATACATCACATTTGGCAAATCGGCAAAGTGAACCAGTCTTCTATCACAACTTCATGTCCTTCAATGTGCGCCATATCTTGCAATATTGGTCCAGACCAATATGTTTCCCTCAAGTGAGAAAGAGGCTAATGTGGTCGGGGTTCGCTGTTGCAGGAGTTGGTGGCGTTTCAATGCAATGAAAGATATACGATTTTCGGCAATTCTCTTGCCAACTGAACCAACTTAGTTGCACTGCAACCAAGAGTCAGGTCTTGCACTGTTTTCCCCGTATGCCATTTAAACCATTGGTTTTGAGGTGACTTGATATATTGAGAAATGGCGCATGCTATTCGACAGCAAGACAACGATATGCTGTTGTGTGCACTCGCCGTTCCTGTGCGCTTACAGAACATTTGTGTCAAGTTGCACAATCTCAAGAAATTCGCACAGAAATCCTCGTTTCTAGGGTAGGATGTACTGGATACCTGCAGTAACACATATGCTGCTTCATACGAAAGACACAGCCATTCGGCTGATCGAGCCCATGAATTTCACTGTTTGCTCAATGCATTGATGGGGAGGGGGATTGACGCACACACACACACCACGTGCTGTAATCTACAGCAGTTTTCCGATGCCAATTGCCTGAACAATAAATGGTGTGTAGGAAAATGCTAAAAAGCTGAAAACAGGCCAGTGATGAAATCACACAATCTTGAACCAAATGTGAGGCAAGTGTACGTATGCAATAAAAGAATATCGTGAGCGAAGACTAAACAGTCAGCTCCTGAAACTCTAGTGGGCGCCCTGATTCAACATTGGGAATCGCCGCAGGTGGTTTTGACCATCATCCACTGGGTGGCCAATCCGATAGTTCTGGGAGGCCTCTCCACGCTCCTGGCCTTCCTCCTCATGTGGGAAAAGGCTCAACGCAAGAGGTGGGAGAAGCATGCAAGGAGCTGGCAGTCAGAGTTCTCCAATCTCAGGCAAGCGCCCCCAAGAGCTGCTCTGCGTTGATCAGTAATCTGCGCAAGAATTAGCAAAAGCATGCCGTTTCGTGACACGGTCGTGCCTCAGTCGATTGCCATGAGCTGCGCCTTCTAAGGCAGTGCACCATTTTGCCGTTCCAGGATCATTTTAGGCAATCATTTCCAAAATGGATGGCCATTATGGCGATCCTTGCGATCCCCCATACGGTGCTCGCCAACCGCCATATACCGACCAGCAGGACAGTCTGCAATGCTAAATGCCCCTGCGTACAGCCCCTACTTATTTGAATCTGTCGCGCTGCGCATGGGCCCAAGCATTTGCCGTTGGCAAATGCCGATGGAATTCACACACACCGTATGTGGCCATGGGCGGTCATAATCATCTCTCAATCGACCACTGAGCGAGGTTTCCCCACGAATTTACAATACGCAACACAATTGCCAATTACACACAGTGGATGAACGGCACACACAATAAATAGACTACTATAAACGAATGAACGAGTAACAGAAACGAATGCAAACGAATAGTATGAACGAATCAAACGGGTTTGTCGTCATTTCCGCAGGAAGGACATGCAGTCCAAGCTGACGGAGACTCGAAGAATGACAAACACGAACACGACGGCGTCCCTGGGAACTGCCACGCCCTCCGCGGCTTCCTTCACCAGCGCATGCTCGTCGGCCGCCAAAATTCCAAGCGCCAATCAATCGCTGTTTGCCGAAGGGGTGTAGCGCCGGAGCACCTGGGGCAGTTGCAGATGCGAGGGCTGTGCATTGCCACGTTCCGCCAACGTGATCAGCAGATTGTAAACTCATAGCGGGAACGCCGATGGACCCCACGGCGCCCGCCGAGCCAGGCGTCCCAGCACCTGGCTGACAGAAGAATCAGATCGGCACCGCCGCGTCCACAGCGTTGACCCCATTGAGCGGGAGCCGCGATCGTTTCGCTTTGTCAAAGAAGTGTTGGCACGGTCAAACGCAGTGATGGCTGCGAAGCCGCACGGACCGCGTAGAAGACGGCGGAACCGTCTTGCCGCATCAAACACACTGCAGCGGCCACCCCTCCACAAAGGACCGAGCCTTGAAGCAGCCACCCCTCTACAGGAGGTTCCTTAGGGAACCGAGTTAGAGTTGGGCGCATGCCCAGACAAGAATTTTAGCACCGCCACAACCCAAAGAATGGCAAACCCAATCCCGGTCTTCAACAAGAAAATTCCGAATCTGTCCCTCTATTCCGTCACACGCTGGGCCCCCAAAGAAATGTAAGCGGCCCGTCCCACCCTTGCCTTGCCTCAAAACTTCTTTTCTGGCAGCCTAACCCCCGCAGGCCCGAATTGCGCTCAGGACACGCCACAAGGTGTCGTCAACACCTTTCAACGATTAGCCCCAATCCTCGCCCTCCTCCCTGCCTCGCAACACCGGACACGCCAGGCGCCTCTGGCCTTGAAGCCAGTCACGATCAGTTGCACGCGTTCACCCCATCCGCGCTTGGCGCTTGTGCGCCGAAGCAAAACATCGTCACCAGCAGAGTGCGGTCGACGCCGTTGGCGCCGCCCGCCGCAATGCGCAAGAGTCGCTTGCACAACCACACGCCAAGAAACCGCTGCCGTTCAGATGCCTACCCATCCTGCCTAAGTCACTGCACAAGCACGACAAAATCACCCACCCTTTGCAGCAGAGACGCTGCTCTTCTCCCCATCCATCCCATCCCCGCCAAGCAACCCTCTGCACACCTCTTGCCACGCCTTAAGCCCCGAGCCAGCGCTGGCCCCTTCCAGACGTGGAAACCGCAAGACTGCGGAATTGGCGCTGCTGGTGGCTCCGAACGGCTCTCACCGATGCGGTCATCAGCCGCCAGCCATGAGAACATGACGATGACGTGTCCCGCCCAACTGCGCGATGCTCCTGGCGCGCACGTGAACGCAGTTCCCTTCGTCCGGGGGTGCGGCTGAGAGCGCCCCTTCACGGAAGCAGCCCCGTTCAGGAAGTCGCCGCCATCAGCCCGTCGCTGACGTGTTGGGAGGCCACCTGGCGACAGAGTGAATCCAGATTCGAGCGGCAACTCACACAAAGTCTTCGCACAGGACTCCCGATGATTTTGGGCGGGCGCACCTTTCATGCAGCGATGCACACCTGCTTAAGAGTAGATGATTGCCGCAGCAACATAGCACGTGCCATGGCTGCTTCAATGGACCCGCACCATAAAGCACACTCTCTTCATAACCGCAGAGCCCACAACAGTTACAGCTTCCTACTAGAGAAGGCCTGGGTGCCATCTAGAAGGAGCCGGGAGCGAAAACGAAGCAACTTCCCATCGATATTAAAGCACAGCCCAGTCTCTCACCACCAAGGGTGATGCTCCGATCTTGGGTAGACAGGCCACTCAGCAGAAGGGTATCTGGATATATCTGGAACAAGGAAATACTTCGACCTAGTGACGATTTCCCTTGCCCTATCCACATTGACGCAGCCAATATGCAGTGAGGAAAGGACACAAATAAAAATCGGGATGACGGCTGCTACATCGGCTTGGACAGATTTGAGGGGATAATCGTTTCATGTTTGCTTTCAGCAGTTAATCCAAATGGAATGAAATCTTTTGGTAAGTTTATCCACAACTGAGATGTCGCGCTTCCATGTTGACAAGCACCGCTGCTATGAGGAATGCCCCAGAAAATCCTCCCACAGCTCATCAGCCAGCCTACCATGTGGCATCATGTTGTGTGGGATGTGACATTCTGTGACATATGGCATACCAAGGTGCTTGCATTGTCTGCTATGTTTCACAGCCATTACAGTCATTGCCGCCAATGATGTTGACGTGTTTTGCATGAAGACTCTGGCTGGTGTGCTTAATATGGCAGTGTGGTACGATCTTTCTGACAGAAGCCCAAACATGCCAACAGCACGCACCTTCACGCTTGGCACGCAGGCGTCCGGTGCCCTCTCATGAAATCCCTTGCCCACAGGGTACACATGACTGAGGTTGGCCAAAATTTGCTGTTGCATCTGAGCACACGAAGAAATAGGGCTGATCAAATGAGGTCAATTGGTCTGCTAATCCCTTGCATTACCACCATTAACATACCCTCCCCGAATGCCATGCTTCTGAATAATGGGCATTGAAACATTCTTGCAAAGTGAAAGATGTGGGAAATAGGAACTACACTAATCTGTAAAGATTGTATTGGGGCACTTTGGAATTATCTGCACTAATTACTCCATGGGCATTTACGGTTACACACTGATTCTATACTCTCAACAGTCGTCTTCAAGCTGCAGTGCAACTGTCTGTTGCCATCAAGGGCAATCATAGAAGAAATCCACACATCGCCTTGCCCCGTAGGCATATGCAGCACAATTTCAATTCCACGGCTTCTGCCAGCTTCAGGTGTTCTGTACTGGCTGCATTTAGGGTATCGTATGTCATTTGGTGGATACCTACCAGAACAGCATGGAGACATCATATTGTGTACTGTCAAGTCTGTAGCGCATTGGGTAAACATTATCAACATATGTGCATCTGTACAACACCTGCCATCTAGAGTGTGCCAACCTTGAGCAAGTCGGCTGTGTCATTTGCATTCTGGATGTCCTGACGGCCCCTGGAGGAGTCCAGCTGGTACCCGGGCTCATAAAGTTCCAGGAACTCTGTGGCCGGCAGGTCCTCCGCCAATTCCACACCTGAAACCCATTCACGGATATCAGACAAAGCACCCTGTTGGCGCAGTACACCATCAAGGAATATCCATTCTTGCAAAAAAATTATTGCTGCAGTATATTGTCAGACACGTGCGGCAAGCCATGTTCCCAGTGCTTTGAGAAAGCACAGAAGGCCATTGCTGGCAGCATTCAGTCAATCTTGCCAATCTACGAAAACCTGTGCATGCTCTACTGACCCCAACTGTCACAATGACCGGATCATTGGCACTCAAAGCAACAGTCCCTTCGCACCAGCCAATGTGCCTGTTTCATACGCCCAGCAACGGGCCACATTCTTGACTGTGTAGCCCCCGCCACCCAGCACAAGCATCGGTACCCCGAACGACTGCATGTACTGAAGACACGAGGCATGCCCCTGTATCGACAGGTTGAACACGCCAAGCTTGTCCCCGCCCAACGAGTCAGCCCCTGCATGCAACCAGTGCACACCAATGCCCTCAATATGCCACCTTGAGGGGCAGACATGAGGGGACAGACAAAAACTTCCAGACATGCATGGTGCCTGGCACCAGCTAATAGGCGCTGTGTCACGATTCCACACATGGTGTCAATGCAGGCCGATGAACGCTGAAGAAGCTGAAGCATCCAATCAGTGCCAAATGTGCGAACTTGCTAGGTGTTGCTCAGCTCTTCGGGCTCCAGATTGACTTGAAGCTCATGACAAAGGTTGAATTCCTTCAGACTGCATTTGCCTGGGGCGAGATAGTGCCATTGTACCAAGACGGGCGATGACGAGCAGGGCTGGATACTCAGGAGTTGCTGCCAGACATGCCCGTGCAGGCCAGGCAGGCCTGAGAAAGTACGTGTGAAATTGTTGAAGAAACTTCGAAGGTTGATGGTGGCAAAATTGCATATGGAATGGAAGTTGATCACAAGGCGGATCATTTCAGCTGTATGGTGTCACACCGCATTGGAAGACGATCGCTGTCGGCTCAAAGCGCTTCATGATATTGGTAGTGAGCAGCTTGAACATCTCAACATACGTCTGGTCGTCGATGCCATCTTTTATTGGGACGTTCACAGTGTAGTACTTTCCAGGCCCTGTAGCCAAGGCACAAATTCTGCCATTACCTACTGGGCGTCCCTGAAGGAATATTCTAACACTGATGTGGTTCTTTTCACTCTGAGACTTCTCAACAACATGAGTCGCAGCATCGACAACAGCCCAAAACGCCTTTCCATTCACAGGAAGCCTGCTCATTTTGTGATTTCTTCTTCCCATTTCCAATATCTTGATTCAGCTACTTGCCACCTCTCTACTCTTCAACTAACTTTTCCCTCCTGCAGTGAATGTTTGCCTGTTAATCACGCACCGGACATACAGTGCAAGTGTGGACAAGCAAGAGACAAGTCTACAAGCTCGACAGGGCGCAAAACAGAACAGTCCAAGCCATGGGGTGCCGCAACAATGCCATTGCACTGTCCCACCTCTGCCAACCTCGTTGAGCTCCCCCGTTCCGGGAAAGAAGCTGTCCCCGTGTTTGTGGAATGAAACAGTCATCACGCGGTCTACCATAGGCACACACATTCATGCACATCGATCAGTGGGGTGTTCTTGCATGATTGGGGCTCGCTGATTGCAAGAAACATCCTGACGGAGGCACGCACACTGATCACAGCGGGAACAAAGGTCATTTCTGCCTGACAGGGACAACCTCACATTTCCTGCCATGGCAGGCGCCCTTGCATGCCATGTCTCCATTGTGGTGAATGGACCAACACCCTTCCACTGCAATTCAATTGCTCACTTGTCATGAGGAAAGCCTCTTCCACGCCATCCCCATGGTGCACATCGATGTCAACGTAAAGGACACGTTGGTGGTACTTGAGCAGCTCAAGAATTGCCAACACGATGTCATTCACAAAGCAGAATCCGGAAGCCTGGGGCAAACAGGGGCATGTCAGTCAATGAAGCAAAACCCAGCTGCATGGCCCCTGCACATCCAAAAAATGGCGTTTTCAGCAGTGCCTGTGCAACAAACATTGCCTGCATCTCTGAACACTGTTCGTTTCTGCAACAGTGGCTTGCTGCACTGATTGGCCATTTTGAATCCAGGTCCAAGGCAATGCCAACAATGTGTCCGGTTCAACTTCTTAATATACTTGTAAAACAGTCAACCTCATGCCGCGCTGCTCACCCATGACTCCACAGCAAGCCTGTTTCAAAATTTTTGTGTGGACAGTACCGTACTAAGTGAATATCTCAAGATTTGGCAGTACGCAAAACAGACAAGTTCCTGGCATGCTGCTTCACCCCTGACTCCACAGCAAGCCCGTTTCATAATCTTTGTTTGGACTGCACTGTAGTTACGGAATGTGTGAGTGAGTTATGGCAGTGTGCAATCAAAAATTTGCTGGGCATGGTGCGTGTTTCTATTGAGTTGAGATCATCGCCTTTGATCAACTTTCCTAGTGGGCTACAAAGAGCTCACTGTACTTGGCAACAGCACTGAAAGGAAACTCCCTACATTCTCTTGTTAGCAAGCATGCACTGCAATTCGACATGTGCAACATAAAGTCAGGCAGCGTATGGTGGTCTACAACTGTAACATCCAGAGCCATGCAGTATGTGCGCATATCCAGTGCGCAAGCTTCCATCAGTTGGTTTTGACGACATTGATACTTGTACCAGATGTTGTCATTCCGCCGTATGCCAGTGCACAACATATGGCAACAAGCACTGGTGCCCTTTACAAGACACACATGACACTTGGCACCAAAATCGAATTTTGTTTGTGACCCTCCAAAAACTAACATCAGATTCCATGCGCAAGGTTTGGATCTGCAATTCAGCTGCTCTTAAGAGTGCCATCTGCATCTGCACAGCAAGATCGATTTGACTTGATTTAACTTGTTAGTCGATCTTTGCTCAAGTTGTAGGTTATATATGGTTTGGCATTCTGGGTGCGCTAACAATTTGGTTCACTATCATATAGAAAAGAATACTACAGTGCCGAATGGATACCCCACCTCTGCCTTCTTGGCATGGTGCATGCCGCCTGACCAGTTGACCACAGTGTCGGCATATCCATGGTTCAACCTCTGAGCTCCACCCACTGAGGCACCAGCGTAACTCTGCAGGCACAGCCACAACATCAGACCTCCTCCAGTGCCAAAGGACTTATTTCATGACACGCATGTGTCGCAGAAGATCCCAATTTGAAGCCATAAGAACTAAAGTGTATCCAGGATCAATTGGATTGAGGAGGAGATTGAATGTCCCATGCGCACACAAGCGTGTCAGGAATTGGCAATGATGAAGATGATGTTTGACCCTTGTCAGGAGAGACCTTGGGCAAGGATCACTCCAGGTATTGGACACAAGTGGACAAATCACAACGAACACATCAAAAGTAGGTACTGAGTAATAAAATTGAACAAAAGAAGTTGACATTTACCTTCATGTTCATATTGTAAATTGACTTTTACAATCCAAACACCTAACTCGCGGAGGAAGTAATTACAAATACAAAAGTCCGAGAAAACATTTGACAACATTGAGGGCTGGCCAAATGAACGTCTCCCCTGTGGGCAGCATGAGAAACCACAAACTGGTTAAGACACGTGCCTCTTTTGACTTCAAGGCACCAGCTCACAAGTGGTCAACAAGAAGATCGCGATGCTGGAGAAGACAAAACCTGGGCCCCATATCATGAATCAAGAGGACAATGATTGTTGGCATACCAGAGAAACTTGTTGTACTTTGGGCATCAACCCCCAATCAAGTGTGTGTGCGACTGCGTAAAAATAATGCAGAGCCTCTGCGTGTAATTGGCTTATCACAGAACATGTGCAGCATGACCAGCAAAAATAATGCAGGGAGGAACTGTGAAATGGGAATGCCAAATGTCATACAGAGGCTACCCCAAAACGCAAATGCAATCCAACAAGAAGAGTACAGAAAGAAAGGTGGGCAAAACACAGCAAGGCCACTGACCTGGCAGTACTGGTAGAGGCCATGAAAGACAGGGCAGTCCACAGCAACTCCAACGATGAATTGCTCTATGTCAGCTGCAAACTGCTCTTGAAACTGCAATGGAGCAGACACTGAAAAGCCACTGTCAAAGTCTTGAAGCGGATTGTGGGCATCTCCGGGATGACACCAGAGAGCAGTCCATGACCGTGCAGTCCATGACCAAGCAGTTCATGACCATGCCTCACCATATCCACCATATCATGTTCATGATTGATTGTGGCTAATGAGACCAAATTGAACACTTCAATTACTAATTATTAATGAATTATTGGATTATTAACTAATTATTGAACTATGCACGAATCATGTCTTAGAATCACCTGCATACCAAACAGCACGTGCGGCACAAGCAGGTGTAGCCCATTAATTTGTATCAGCGCCAAACGATACTGCGTTACCAAAGCTCCATACTGTTGCAGCACAGAGCATCAGCCGGCAAGCGACTGTGATCATGGTCACAGTTACAGCCGCAGTTTTAAGGAACATCCCTGACATTAAAATCCGCGGCAAAATCCGCATGAACTGCATTGATCAATTATACAACAAATCGCTGCTCTCGCTACTACTAGACGATGCCCAGTGCACAATTGTTGTCAGTGTAGTGTGCAGGTGGCAACGTTAGTGTGTGTGTGCAGTGTCTCGATCAACTTTGTGGGCTGCCCTTGTCAGAAAGCTATGGCAATCAGCACCCTTTAATCGTGTGGCCATGAGAGAAACAGTACATCCGATCAACATTTGTTGCGTGGAAGTGCTTTCAGCAACGTTTTCCTCTTTCTGTTTCCATCGAGCAATGTGGTTGTCCAGTGCTGTGTACCAAAACACCCTTGTTCCTGCCGGTGCGCAGCTAAGCAACAGCATCGACACCATGCCTGTGACACTCTCCTCACCTTCTCATCTGGTGAGACATGCTTCAAAAAGCTGACATAATCGGAACTGTGGAAGGCAGCAAGGTCCGAATCGCTGGCGGGGACAGGCTTGCAGATCTGCACGGCCGCCACAGCTGGATTATGCAGCACACACCCCAAAAGGCTTGGACTCTCGACCAAGGCGGGATTGCCTTGCCAACAACCCACGCCAATGGGAACGACTGATGCTATCCGCCGATGCAGCAGATGCTACAACAGTCAAAAGCCATCGAATGGGAGATGGGAACGAAATTACTCGTCAGAGACCAATCACTGGATTGGTGATCAGTGCACAGCAACAACCAACAGGCGAAGGGTGAATTATTTATAAAGTTATGATACTTGACAACGCTCAGAAATCAAGCAAGAGCCAAAAGAATTCTTTCTGATGAAGTGTTGCATCTCCCGCCAGGTGATTGTGGCAGATGATGCTCTGCAAGGCAAAAAGGCCAACTACGTGAAGTGCCAGAATAATGCGGACCAAGCTTCAGTCATCGTGGTACATGATGGAGCCAGGCATCCAGGAGATTCATCTCCAAAATGCGTGGCGAGTCAGTTGCCATAATCAATCATGGAATGCTGCAAGATGCCATTTGCCCTAGGGAAGCACTGTCAAAGCATTTTCCAAGACATTCACGGCCACTCTTGACATTCACATGGTCCTTTCCCAGCAAGGGCAAGGATGGCTCATGCAGCCAATCCACACTCAGATGCCGATGGCTGTTGCAAGACCTATAATGTGGCCAAAAATGTGAAATGTAGAGAAGTCTACAGACAAACATCACATGCATCACATTGAGGTCGGGTTTCTGGTCAATCCCAGTAAGGCACAGCTATGATTCTGTTGGTTTTGGTCCCACAGCAGGGTCAGATCAACACCATGACACCCAACAACGTCGGGGCAAGATTTCCATTGACCACAAACCAGCAACGGCCCAGAAGGTAACAGACAAAACTTCGATTTGTGCCCTCCATCGAACTGTTGGGTGTGTTCTTGCACCTCTTGTCAACCTTGGCAAAACAGAGCTTAAAACTTGGCTGCAGGGAAAGAGCTAGTGGTTGTCTGTCATCCGCGTCGACGGCTGGCACACAAAGCAGAACCTAAATTTTCGAGGCATGGACACACCTGTCTGGGGCTATATGCACCTGAGACACTTTTTTGGGCGAAGCGGGCACCAGACAAAATGTTCAACAGCACTTTGGCTTGTACCCATTTTCGCCCTGCGCCAATTCTTCCGAATGCATGTTTTGATATTTAGGGGGCCACAGCACTGCGCCGGCGTCCAACAGGTACCCATCTTCGACCGCCAACTTCTGATGATGACTAAACGGGGGTGGGCGCGAATTGGGGTCCGGGGTCCGGGGGGGTCACCTCCATGTAGTTGTGCAGCCCGTAATGCAGCACCAGGCTCTGAGTCATGAGCACGCGCTGCGGCTTCATGGGGTGGCCCTGCCCGAACCTGTAACTCCCCGCGGCATCGTCAAAGTAATACGACACCTGTCACGTCAAACCCCGGAGGGGTCACGTCAACACGCGACGGGTCACGTCAATGCCCCTGCTGGCGAAATTCTCCGGGAAACTGGTGGGGCGACGGGTTTGCAGATGTCGGCTCTTTTTTGGTGCGCGACATCGCTAGCATCACCAGAATCGGCACTTTCGACTGTCCGATTACCGGGATTCGGATTCGAGGGCATTGGGTGGGTTGGGAAAAGCGGTTGGCAGAAGAGCGGCCCGAATCGGCGTCAGAACGCTCTTGGCAAAACTGAAAGGAGGAAACTGTGGAAGGGGAAATGCGACTCCTTCCTCCGCTTGTCGCCCGCGCACAAGCACGGCCCATTGCCCACCAGGAAAACACGCGGCCACAATAATCGGCCCAAAATTACCCAAACCGGATAATCGACAAAAAAAATCCCAGCGGCCCCCGCCCCGCGGGGCCGCGCGCTCTCCCAACCGCCGCCCAACACAAATCCGACCCCAAATTTCGCCGGTCGCCCCCCCGGCATGCGACCTTACCCTCCCTCATGCCGGATCTCGAAATATCCGCCCCACGGCAGAATGCAAACCCACAAAACGGCCCCCACGGTTGGGGTCCCCAACTCCGCCCCTCCCCTTCCTCCCCTTTCCCCCCTGCCTCCCCTCCTCCCCGCCCACACTCCCCGATTGCGGCATCTGCCCCAAGGGGGCCCCCACCCGATGCCAACCCGCACCTTCTTTCGGTTTTTCATCCCCCCCGCCGCCCTCCGGGATGCAATCTCAACCGCCGCGTGGCGGGAGGCAGGTAACGCTCGACGGCGGCCACGGGGGCCGAGAGGGGCCGGGACTGGCCTGCCCTGCGCGACGGGCCCAGCCGTGCCTAATGCTCCAACGGATCGAGCCCAAATGGCACGCTGCCCAAATCATGGCCGAATTTGCGGGGTTCTGGCTTTTAGGGACGCCGTCACCGGCACCCGGATCGCACCGGTCTGGCCTGGCCCAGAAACGGACCGGCGCCGGGAGGCAACCGTCCGGGATGATCCGGGTCCGGTCGACGGCGGGTGCTGCGACGGCGCCATTCCGGCTGGAGCCCCGATCAATCAAGCTTGATGGAACACATGGGCGCTTGATTGGACGCCGAGGGCATGGGTGCTGAGTGGGGCTCCATGCTGGGACATAAGAGGCGCAGAGGGAGGCGCGTATCGCTTCCTTGCCGCGGAGGCGCCCAGCGAGAACTGTTCAGCCCCTGGTCGAGCTGCAGCGCAGTGTGGATTAATGGCTGCGGCCGAATGTCATTGCGCCCAACGGAACGTTGCATCAATGGCTCAGCGCCGCGAGTCCCGTCGGCCCAAGACGCCGGCCTCCTCCAACCTCGGGTTGTCGCCGGCTGCCGGCAGTGGTTGCTGTTGCGAGTGCCGAAGGCAGCCTGCTGATCTCAATGCGGGTGAAACGCGTCGGCCTTTGCTGGGTCGACTTGGCGAGTCAATCCTTTCGATGGCATGTGTTGGAACATAAAAATGCGCTGCCCTTACAACGTCAAGCCGATGATGGGCACAATGGCCAGAACGGAAGGTGGAATGTGGACGGAATGAAAGAACATCATCCGCATGATTGTACGAGGATGTGTCAGGGAAGTGATGCTCTCCAAATAGGCTGTCCGCTGTACACAGGGTCCAATGAATTCCACGCAACAATTGTGGTCCTCGTGGCACGCTTTCGCGACCTTAAAGCCAGTCCGCGGGCGTTTCAGTGTGGAAGATTTGCTGTGAGCCTGCATCCAAATCTAGTAAGCTCGCATTTGAAAGGGTTGTGAGCGCTGGCGGCATGTGCACGATTAGGCATCAATGCCCATGTGCATGTGTCGCAGACGCTGGGGCCAACTGCGAATGGATCCATCCATGTGGCTGCATAATGGCGTCAATCCGCATTTGGTCCACTTGTCACAATAGAATTCCCACATGCTACCTGGGTGGGAGAGAATGCAACCTCCCTGAAACGACCCCATGTTGGGGTCCCTCCCCTCCCTCAGACTGAAGATATTGTTTCCTCAAAAAGCTATGCACGCCTTCAGCCCGCCGTGAAAACCACTGAGTGTGTATCCATTGGCCGACGTCATGCAGTGGTCACACCAATGCTATCACTTTACGTATATTACAGATGGTAAGGAACGCACGAAGATCCCAAACATTTGAACAAATTATGTCTGGGTCCATCTCACCACCAAACATACCTATGTGCTCGCAAGTGGTCATTGAGCTGTTGACAGAACATGATGCACAGTCAGCCCTGCTCACCAGGCAGTCCCATCATCATATTCTGTAGAATGGCCACTTCAACAAGAGTTCAGCACTGGGTCTCAGCCACAAGAACGTGCATTCCAGAGATTCGCACAAGCCCATGATGAGTATGTATTGCTCAAGGCGCTGGCTAACAAGATGCAGGAACCTTTCCAGTCCTAAGTTCTAAACTTGTGCCACTAGTCCAGTTTGGCAGCAACAACTACGAAGCACTTGCCTACTGCTTGCTCAGCACGTTACCACTCACGGATTCTCCATAACAAACTCCATGACCTGATGGGGTACGCATTCTATTGGTCCAGTGACATCCACAGGGAGCGATGAAACTAAGTGGGGGCTGAAGCACATCAGAATTCCTGTGATGATCTTCTTCCAAGGGACTTCCAACACAAGGCACTGCCCAGTTCTGATCGCAGCCCAGCATGTGGCACACTTGATGCTTGGCGTGGCTGCACCTTGGCAGTACTTGGTGACTGCGCATCCGGCCAAGAAGATAACCCTGCTTTGCCATTTGCCACCAAGGTTGATGCTTGTCCCCTATTCTTTCAAGAAGACATACTCGGCGTCCTCTCATTGCTCACTACTGCCCAGAAACAGCCACCGCCACATACATCTCCCAACATACTCAGACACACTTGAGAAGTCTTTACCATGGTGGATGGAGCCTCAAGGGTTCGGGTTGGGGGTTGGTGCCGTCTTGGTCACTTACTCTTCTCTCTTCTGAGATTCGATGAAGTAGACTCGTGAAGATTGGTGTCTTCTCCATCAACGACAGCACTTTCTGAATCTACTAGGCCCAATGATCACAGCACGGGAATTGCCTTTCCGGCAAGGGTGTGTTGCTCCACAAATTGCTTCCATACAATTCTCAAACACTGCTTTGAATGCAACTCTTCAATATACAGACACTCTTCCTCCATTGTTCTCCCCTTCTTCAGTAGCCAGAAATATGTTATCTGCCTCGTGGAGGTTAATGCAAGGTGGAAAATGCCACCCAGCGACCCTGCCGACTTTGTCAATTGCCACTTTCAGATCAGCAGACATTTCTCTGTCATGCCACATGGGTAAAGCAGCAGTGCATTGTCTTCATGAGAGCATTGCAGTAGAACAGCTAAGAAGCAGGCACCACAATTCCCACTGTGCACAACACTGTACACATGATGGTGCGGAACCAGTATCAACTGCTCAGCCAGCCAACACCTTTCAGGTTTCGATGGAACAGGACTTATCAAAAGATGCCAGTGAGGTGACTGCCAAGGCACCAGCTCTCAATGTACCACGACAAGGCCATTCACACAAGGACTGACGTAGTCCTTTGCAAGGGTCTGCTACCATTTGCTCACCAACCCAGCTGATACGCATAGGTGAAATGCATTCACCGTCTGCAAAATTGTCTCTGCTGTGTCAGGCTGTATGACTGCAGGCAGTTTCGCCAGTGTCACACTATTTTGCACCATTGGTTGCACCCATCGGCATCACCTAGGCACAGCTAGGGATGAGCTTTCATTGAGGTTTGCAGGGAACAGAACTCCAAATCGGCCACTCCAGCCTGAGAACACCTGGAAGACTATATAATTGTGGATCGCTCCTGTGACCACAGGACCGCAGGCGTCATGATCTCTTGTAAGAGGTCTTGCTCGATCGCTTAGTCGTCCCCATACCTTCACCACCACCGAAGTCGTGAACGCTCCAGAGTCCAACCCACACATCCCTTGCTTCGCTCTCTGGCTGTTGATCTACAACCTTCCTCGGAGACAGACAAGCTACGCACTGGCCAGCGCAGACAACAAGCTGATTCTGCTGCCAATGCCACGCCTCTTGGCACACTGACACATTCCCACTTTCCCTTCATCGCCTTTTTGGTGCAGCACCACGAAGCCCACACTGGAAGTCCGATGACCACCTTGCCTCCTGGCTGCCAAGGCGTCGATTCACCCTCTGAGCGAAATGCAGTCCCACGTGCGCTGTGCTAAGCCCACCGTGTGCGTTTGCAGGTGCTGCGCTTCTGCGTGGCAAGTAAAGGTATCCTCGACTGCTTGCGCCATCCGCGCATCCATTTCATTCTTCTTGGGAGCAAGGAAAGTCTTCATCAGCAGCTTACCCGCAGGCTTAGACAACCGCCACCACCACCTATTTTCCACCTTCCGCGCAGCCAGTGGCGGCCACGCCTCCTCTCCAGAACGCCCATCAGCGCAGTCAAGGCGCCGGACTCCGCGCGTCCCCCGCTCCCAACAGATGCGATCAGCGGCATCCGCCACCGCCCCCAATGTCCCACCTCAGCTCCGTCCCACAGTCGGCAGCCTCCATGCCGGTCCAATCAGGCGATCGCCCCCATGCGGCCGCGACGCCGGCGGTCCCGCCGCTCGTCACTCCTTGCCCTTGGCGGTGGTGGCGTTCACCTGCCGGTCGAGCGCCGCCAGCTGGTCCTGCACCGACAGCTTGGCCGCCTTCTTGAACGAACTGGTGGCCAGCACGGCGAAAATGGTGGCCAGGGACACGCCGCCCATCAGCAGCAGGGACATCCCCTCGCCGATGCGCGCCATGGACCCCTCTCTTCGCCTCTCTTCCTCTCTTTCCGTGAGCCAAGCCGCGCCCCCACTCCGCGCCGGCGACTTCGGGTGGATCGGGAGCGGCTTGCCGCGGAACTTTGTCCGCGATCGACTAAACGCGTCCCAATGGATTGCGAAGCGACTCCTCCAACCGACAGAGCGCAGTCAATCCCAGTGGCCCAGCGCAATCGATTGAACCTATCCCAAAGGATGTCGTAGTGATCCCTCCAACCGTGAAAGGGCGATCAATCGCAGTGGCCGAACGCGCCGCCGCGCACACCTCCGGACATCAGCCGACCTTCAGCGTGCTCGGATTCCGGACAGGAGGGCGTCGAAGGGGATTGCGAAGACGAAGAGGAGAATTTGAGCGTCGCGCCGCGCCTTGACGAGCCCGCTGCCGTCGCAGCGCGCGCCGAAGGCCCGGGAGCCCGGGACTTGAGCGGGCGCGGCGCAAAATCTGCCTCCTCCGGGTTTGTGGAGCGGATAGGGGCGACCTTGGACGTCGGGGCGTTACCTCGCGGGAGCGTAACGGAGCGCGCCACCCACCAAGCACAAAGGTAACGCGAAAACCCCCCGAAAAACGAGTCCCCACCAGTGCCAGAAACTGGCTGGCCTTGTCCTGCAAGCCTCCCGCGGGTGGGAGTGTGCCCCACCGCCCTAACTGCGCTCCCACCCGCGCGCTCCCTCCCTCGCCGCCATGCACCACTAGGACGGAGCAGAGCGGCCGTGAAGCTTTCGCCGAGGGAGGCGTAGCGAGGAGAGGTTGCGAAATCAGGACCTTGTTGGCCAGATGCCGGTGGCCCTGGGCATTGGTGGCACGGGTGGCGGGGGCGCGGAGTCGAAGGATTGTGGGACGGCAGTCAGGGAGAAAGATGCCAAGGCAGTTGAGGCGTTGTATCACGTGATGGCGAGCATCGAGGTGGGTGCTGTTGATCGACTGGCGTGGAGCGTCGACGCTGGAATCGTTGTGCCTCGGTCCCGTGCCATTAGGCCTGAAAAACACGCCCATGAAGTGCTACAACTGTCAGAAAATGTCGGATCGGGGCGGGCTCAGTTGCAAGCTGGTCTGAAGTGTGCGGTGATCTTGAATCCTGGGTGGCTTCGTCAAAGGTAGCCAATCAATGCCTCGAGGATCAGATGTGCGATGGAGCCCCAAGGCTTCAAGGGCAACATTTTGCCCTGACATGGGCACTAAATTTCCATCAGGAACACCATCACCTGTGGAAAATCCGACCAAAAGTGGGTCAAGATGTTACGAAGTGGGGACAACGCGGCAACAGCTAAAGATTCTCGCAAGCAGACCATGGGGGCCAGTGTGAACGCAGGCTGGAGTCCTGGCTGTCCTGTCCTTTGTGGCGGCTTGAACCAATTGTGGGGTGTATGAAGTTATCAAGCGGCACAATTTATTTGCGGGTTTGTGCATTCATCATTGGACAAGATGTTTGGGTGCCGGACAGACACAATTGTGTGCACCAATCGCCAGCAATGAAGCAACTGTGCTGCTATCCGCATCATTTTGCGCTTTCTGAAACTCTTGATGCAGGCCATCTGCTTTTGCTGACCCTGTGCATAGTAGGCTTCCACGGAATTTTGTAAGGACATCACCCAACACATCATTGACCCATGCATCAGCTGTAGCCAGATGCACTTAGCCATACAGGAACAACAGCAAATTGTTGTACGCCACACATTGCAGATTTTTGTGTAGACGTTCTTGGCTTGCACAAGCATTTTAGCTTCCACTCTTTTATTCATTTTGTTATAAAGATACAGAGGTTTTTTGACAGCGATGGGAAAAGCAGGTAGAAGACAGCCACATAAATAGCAAGATGACAATTCACATTCAAGGAAAAGAAATTGTGGCATCCATGAGGATTCCAGCTCATCTTGTGGTTTGCCACTGTCGTAGAACAAGCTTGGGGGTGGTGAGGGCGTTGTGGGAGTGTATGGCAGCATCACAAGGACTGGGATACAGGCTGTTGTGCAATGCCTGGTGGAGACTTGCGGAATGGATGAGTACAGCAGATTGGTGGACATTGGCGCCGGGCTTGGCAGGTGCGGACAAAGCTGTGCTGTGTGCTGCTCCTATGAGAGTCAATGTACAGGTGTCTGAAGAGAGAATGAAGTTGTTCCAGTCACTCAGCAACAGCACTAAAGATTGCAACAGCATCCACTCACAGAATCACCTTCGTATCACCCAGGAATAGTAGCCTGGTGGACGTTTGCGAATTCTACACTTCACAGCAAGGATACGCCCAAGAAACCGTGGCAATTAAGGTGGACAATGCCTTAACCCTTGTGGGGCTTCAGATGCAAGATTGTGAGCACATTGGAGGATAGCTAGCAGAGACATGAACAGACATGAAGAGATTCCGTTCTGGACCTCAGTGCAGTCTGATGAACAAGAGTTGCAACCACTTGGCGCTCTGGTTGTATGCGTATTGTAAAAAGTTGATGTGGTGTAATCAATGCAAATAAGCAATCTTCAGGGGCCTCTGGGATTGCCTGGTTCTTGTCACTAATCTACATTTGGATGAAACCTGAGCTGCCAGCTTTTGTGCCTGCTTATGCCTACTGGACAGCTAATTGCCTGCCTGGCTACTTATCCTGGCGACCAAAAGCCAGCCCAACTTGAGAGTGAGAATTCAGCTCCCAATTTTTCCCCAGCTGTACAATGCCAATGTCACCCATTTCAAGAGCTTGGGGCCTAAAGTCAATGTTGGTTGCAAAGATGCCAGCACCAGTATGTTTTAACTGCGGAATAATTGGACATGCCTTTGTCACAACAATATGATGGAAGGGCGTGGAAAGGAACTCAGAGTTCTCTGTCAAACAATTGTTCAGCTGAATCCTGTTGAATTTGCATCTCTGCTTTGGTACACTTGTGGGCATCTTGTCTGGCATGCAGGACTCTGAAAGCCGATGGTGCTCTCTTTCATATCGCAGACCGCTGATGCATGCCATAGTGCACCCCGGTGTGAGGAGCAGCTGGGGAGTGGAGGTGGACATAATCAAGTGGGAGAAGGCGCAGGTGTTCATACAACAGACAATCGCAACCCTGCAGAAGCGGGGGTTGCTGACAAAGGATGTTGCGGTGCCCACGGTGGACTGCATGCCTGTGGAGCAGGTGCTACCCTGGCTATTTTCCTTGTCACAAAAAGAATAACAAAGTTGTTGAAGTTATCTTCGGTTACTTGCTGAAGATAGTGCAAAGTCTTTTTGGGTGCACTGTTGTGCTGGCTTGGTCCATGGCCATGTGAGCAACTGCCACCATGCCGAGCCATGCCTATTTAGGTCTTTATGCATGTGCAGGATTGTTGTTCTCTTGCATGTATGGAAAAGCCTGCCTGTGTGTCTAGAAGATGCGGATCTCTTCTGCTGAATCACTGAACAAACAAACTGGATCGCCTCTAATTCAACATAGTTTAACTCCATGTCTTGCACTGCATCCTGATTCTGCATTCGTTGCCTCCGATTTCGCACCCCTAATGTGCATAGAATTTGTAGCAGGCATTCTTCACAGGTTTCATACAGCTTGTTATTCATCACACTTATGTAGCACCTTGTGCGCGTATCCAGCAGCATGCCATGATTTATGAAGAACTCACAGTGTATAGCTGGCCTGCAATTGCTGGTGCCATTTTTTGGCACCACCGCCATAAACTATGGTGCTGAGTGCTCTTATTCTGTTGCAGGTTACAAGCCTTGAGCCTCACACACATGGTTACTCCTTTTGGGAGGGCATTCCTTTGGAGGGCAAGCGAGCGTTTGGAAGGCTGTTTGCCCAGGCAGCGACCATGAGAGTACGTGAGTTCTGATGCAGCTTGGGGACTCCACCATTCACTTTGCTTTTGGGTTGCCATAGTCATGACAGTTGTTGACAAATGGACCCTAACGTTTGGGCAGCCATGTGGCACAAGCACGCAGTGTCTCTACTGTGATTGTCATGCATAATTCCATGCTCACAGCAGCTGACAAATCCGGAAATGGAATCATCGTTCAGTAATGGAATGATTGTCATGAACAGAGGGGCATGCGACATTTTCTGTTTGTGTGTTTCTATACCTCTTTAGTGCCGATGTGTGCACAGCATCAGTCCATGGCACAACAAACCATTGCGTAAACATGCTTGTGTGCATTTCTCAGGCCATAGCTGTCGTGCAACGATCGTTCAGAAGAAGAGATCCTGCTCATGAAATGCGCAAGTTGGCTTTTGGTCCCGTCAGGCTCATGGGTTCATTTCCTGTGAAGATGTCAGGTAATATCTGTTTGATTTGGCAGCCGCAATACGACCCTGTACTATTGCAGGGGTATGCATTATAACAGGCAGGGCTCTGGAAGGTATTTTCGTTTACACCACAGAAACCAGGTTAAAGCGCCAAACGTTCCCCCTAGCAAAATCCCAAACCCTGCTGCAGCTCAGAGCGTTGAACAGCCCTGTGGAAGGCCAGCTTTTGCTTGGTCACTTTTCCGAATTTCCCAGCGTCAACCATCCCCGCGCACCTGTCAGACGATGATGCTCAATCAGTGCCTCCGCACAGGCGACCTGGGAAATTGGATTCAAGTCAACACACGTGCAGCAGTGCAATGTCAAGCGTAGTCGACGAGGGAATGGAAAGGTCCCTGCAAAATTGCAGGTGTTCCTGGACACCCAGACGGGCTCATAACGAAGGGGCCCCTTCTTGTCCGAGGTTTGGCAATCGAAAAGCGCTCGTCATCAGCATCACTCTGAATGGGGCTAATGTTGTGTTCATCCGGGCTTCCAGGCAGCGGGCGTGGTTTCACGGCGTATGTGTTCCACAAAAATGCCTACACCCAGCCCTTGCGCCACGTCGCCCCCCCGCCAGCGGAGACAAAGCGGGAGGGGAGAATCTTCGCATACCAGCCGCCCGTCATTCGCATGCTGAGAGCGAGAAAAGCGAAGGGAGGGGCGTCAGCGTGCGATGGTAGGTACTGGCAGAAATTCACGCCTTGTGGATGGGCACATCGTCATCGTAGATGAAATCGCTGCTTGCTCACAGTCACAGTCATCCACCCCATTCACGCAAGCTTCGATCGATTGCCCTGCGTTGCGAAATGAGCAGAGATTTGCAATTCCCTCAGAGTGGTCCACAAGCCGTAGTTTCAAAAGCCACGCATTCCAGTCCCGCGGTTAACAGTGTCCCTGTTTACATGCCTCACCCTTTCTTGCACGGCGCCGTGTCGCAGATGCGAATGCAGCTCATGGGCGCCGTGTGCAAAAGGAAGCAAGTCAGGAAGGCGGAGACGGTGGTGGCGCATGAAAATTGTGATGCCATACCCCGCTGCTTGGTTCTTGCGGGATGCGCCAATTCTGGCCTAAGGAGAGGGGTAGAAGAATTCGACAGCGTCCACTTGCGGGGCGCAAGAGTCGCAACCTTGTGAGGCCCTGAGGACTCGTCAATCTGCATTCGGCACATGAGAGCGGGCTGTTGAATCAGAGGAGAGCCGTTGTTGAAGTTGTCATGGCATCCAGCTGACGTTGCAGAAGTTGCACCTGCCATGCGTCGCCGGCAGGCGAAGGTGAATGGCCACGTCCCAGCGAAATTTCGACAAGGGCGGCTGATGGGACTTTTGCATTGATCCCAGAAGATGCGATTCCCGCGTTGGGACGAGGTTGGATGATTCGGAGAGACCCTCAAGCCCCGTCGTTTGGTGGACACATCCCTGAGTCGCTCATGCCGGCGACGATCCGCCGTTTCATTTTCGGCCATTTTCTGACCGTAGCGGACGCAGCCGATGCCACAGCGCAGACTTTGTCGCCACATTCGTGTTGAATTGAGCTGTCCAACGGCATTGTCGCAGTGCACAACAGACGCTGGTGCCGATGTGTCGCGTTGTGAACCGTACATTCGCGGTTTTCGTTAAAATATGGACGCACGGTCAGCGTGGGCGAACAGTGGTGCCCGGCTGCGGCTATGTATATTCAACTTCATCGTTACACGCCACTCATACAGAAGTGCCATCAAGGTGTTCTGGGATCGTTCTCTGCGAACCGCTGTTGCAGTGCCGCCTTGGGACTCCACCCCAAGTCCGCCGCTCTGAGCATTGCACCATCGCCCTTATTCCCTTGTGACACCCAAGGCAAGTACTCGCCCACTGACACCCACAGCAGCAGCTCCGCCGCAGTTCATGGGCAACCGCAGGCAACGCATTGTGGCAGTCGCCCTTGAAGAGCATGTCTGCACTTCGGGCCGTGTGCAACGACAAAACTTACGCTCATTGTTGGACCCACATCCCAGGCGCTCCACGCGGCGCTTCTGCTGGATGCCCCCAGCGGTGCAGACCTAGCACGAATTTTGCATGATGTCAGGGGCACAGCAGCCGGGGGCGCGCCAAGCGCAAATATGCTGGGAACCTGATGGTCAGCCGGGTGTGCAGCCCCGATGGCTTCCATGAGGGTGACGGTGTCCTGGGTTTATTTCCAGAGGCCAAGTGCCCAGCTCAACTGGGGGCCTAAGCCCCGAACATTGCACCACCTCGCGCCCAGGCCTGGCCAGTGTCCAAATCAAGCAACAAGTGTTCAACGTCTTCCCAAAGTAGCCCATACGGAGAAATTTCCCACTTCCCCAAAGCATTTCCCGAGACCTCAGTCCCCCCGGGACAGATATGTCCCCTGGGGCCGATTTATCCCTGGTCAATATTCACGGGGCCGTTACGTCCCTGGCGCACCATTCTCCACCTTGCACTTCGACGTGGTGCCCTGGTACTTGGCAACGCAAGCGTGGGGCCATCCCGGCTCCGACGAATATGCGATTGTTGCCCCCTGCCAGGTCCTGCGCGCCATTAGCTAAATACATCCAGGCGCAGGAAGCTCTGGAAAGCAGCAATCCTGGTGGATGCGATCTCTGGTGGTCGGTTGAGCTTCTGCCGAGTCATCAGTGCTTGAATGCGGTTGTCAATTTACCTGCGCCATCGCAACATGGCAAAGCATTATGGAAAAGCGTACATGTAGAGTGTTGCGCCCTTGGTGCGAGGAATCGACATGGACAAGTCTGTGTTGTGAAGGTGTGGTTGAGTTCATCTTCAAGTCATGGCTGGCACATGGCCCACGCCATGATGTGGAGTTTACCACGCGCTCGTACCCAGGACTTGGTACTTCTCAAGCAGAGCTTAGCATGCTTTATGCTCCAAGATGTCGTTGCGACAGATCCAGTGAAGAATTCCTGAAAACTTCAAGCTGCAGAATAATGGCACGGGATGGAGGCATGTTGACATTCAGTTTCGAGCTGCCGTGTTATCCGAGTATCGATGCGACTCAATTACGACGACCTGTGGCAATCGAGAAGTTGAACTACCCTGCACAGACAAATGCCGCGACACAGCTGTCCTTCTCGGAAGGCTTGCGCCTGACACGGCCAAGAACATCGCGCCACTTTCCAGCGCTGACGAACAAGCCGGACAACGGCGTCGCCCAAACAGGTTGTGTGCTGGGCTACGCTTACGGGGAGAACAAACCAGGCTACTGTCAGAGGTTGCACCGCCTGTCTTAGCGCTCAGGGCGTAGGGACGTTGTTCTGCCACGCGCTGGGAACAACTGCAGTCCTAGCTTTCCAACCAATCAAGAATTACTGCATTCAAGTGACCCCTCGGACCCCAGGAAGCCGAAGAGTCCAAAGTCTCCAATAAATCCAGCGCAGCTGAGGAATGAATGAAATTTCATGAATGCATGAGCTTGGAAAATTAACAAGTATGATAAACTTACTGAGGTGTCAAACTTTTTCGATGATGAGCCTTGAACGACTGAATGAAGCGGAGGAATCCGTGGAATTTGAATGATGGCGGACCCGCTGCTGGGCCCGCGGGCCCACCCACCCACCTAGGCGCCGTCCTCCGCCTCCCGCAGCACTCGCTCCACCTTGCCTCGGTCCCTGAGGCCCCGCGCCGTGCCCAGCAGCACGTCCAGCGGCGTCCTCCCGCCCGCATCCCGGGCCCGGGGGTCCGCGCCGCCTGCCAGCAGCGCCTCCACAGCGCCCACCCACGCGCCCCCCGCCGCCGCGTGCAGTGGCGTGCGGTCCCCGGAGAACTCCGCCAGCCCGGGATCCGCCCCGGCGGCCAGCAGCGACCTCACCACGGCCGCGTGGCCGCGGTCCGACGCCGCGTACAGAGGGCTGAATCCCCTGACGTCCCGCCTGTTGACGTCCGCCCCGTGGATGACCAACACGTCGACTATGGCGCCGTGGCCGAACACGGACGCGTACCAGAGCGCCGTCTTGCCTTCCAGGGAAGGGTGATCCACGTCCGAGGTGATGTTGACGAGGAAGCTCGCGGCGGCAATTCTACCCGTTGCGGAGGCGGCCATCAGAGGGAGCATCCCGCCGTCGGTCTGGATCTCGGCGTCCGCGCCCGCCTCCAGGAGCGCGAAGGCGGATTCGTCCGGCCCTCGGTCAGCCGCGCGGTAGAGTGCCGTCTCCCCGCCCTTGGTCTGCGCGTCCAGTCTTGCGTTGCGGCGGATCAGGGCACGTAGGATCGCCGGTTGGCCCGCCGCCAGCAGCAGGGGCGCCTCCGACCGCCGGTTGACGACCCCGACGTCCGCGTGGCGCGACAGCAGCTCCTTGACCACGTCCTCGCGCCCGAAGGCGATGGACAGGGAGAGGGCCGTGTCCCCTGCAGCCGTCTTCGCCTCGATGTTGGCGCCGGCGTCCAGCAGCTGGATCGCGGCGCCCAGGCTGCCGGCGTGGGACGCGGCGATCAGCGGCGTGAAGCCTGTCGAGTTGGCGGCGTCCACGCCCGTGGCGTGCTTCAGCAGCACGGACACCGTCTTGTTGAGGCCCAGCAGGCCCGCGTAGAACAGCGCCGTGTGATTAGTCCTGTCCGAGCCGTCTGGGTCGGCCCCCAGGTCGATCAGCTCGTACACCGCCGCCACCTGGTCCCGCAGCGCTGCCAGGATCAGCGGCGTGGCGCCACGCAGGGTCTTGGCGTTCGGGTCGGCGCCGGCCTCCCTCAACACCCGCATCACCTCCACGTGCCCCTCCTGGCCCGCGACGCTGATCGCCGTAGTGCCATCCTCGAGCTTTGCGCCCGCGTCGGCCCCCCGCGCCACCAGAAGGCGCGTGACATTCAGGTGGCCGCGCTGCGATGCCGCGAACAGCGCCGTGGCACCCTTCTTGTCCCTCTGGTTCGCGTCCACTCCGGCGTCCAGGAGCAGCCGCACAATCTCCTCATGCCCCCTGTCCGCCGCGACGATCAGCGCCGTGCTGCCGTCCTCCGCCCTCGCGCTCGTGGCGGCCCGGGCCTCAAGGAGGCGGACCACGACCTCGACGTGTCCGCCATCCGCCGCCACATACAGGGGAGACACGCCGTTGATGTTCGTGGCGTTGACGTCGACGTTGCGGGCAAGGAGCTGGTCCACGACCACGAGGGCGCCGGAGGCTGCGGCGTGCCACAGGGCCGTTTGCCGGCCTGGCTGCGTGGCGGCCTCCGTGTTGGGCCGCCGCCGAAGAAGCTGCTCCACCACGTTCGAGTGGCCGCCCTGGGCGGCGCGGATGAGCGCCGTGGCGCCGTCTTCCGACCTGAGCAGGCGCGCGACGCGTCGTCAGTCGTGAACGCGCATTCGCAGAAGGGCGGTGAAGCAGGCAGGGTCGAGGGGCGGCGACCACTGAATGGGCACCGTACTCGTGTACACCGCAACGGTTTATGGCGGAGCAAAGGGACAACAGGAATTCTGTCCCTTACATGTCCGATCGGTTCATCAGTGTCCTAATTCAGTTCCTATTATATATCCTTATGCGTCCAGCTGTTAATCATACTCATTAAGTTCCGATTACAACAGCGACAAAAGCCACGCGGTCTCCCCTGGGAACTATCTTGCCCCAGTTGCCGCGTGCTTCTTTTAAGCGCATCATCGCCCTGGGGACTCCAAGGGTGCCGCACACTTGCCATGTTTAATGGCAAACCTCCCAACAGTGATTTATCTGATAGGAACATTGCCTGGCCGTTCCTACTTGAAGCACTGACTTCTCCTGCTTTTATCCCAACAGCAAAGGGCTGAAGATATCGCCACACAATTTGATACGAGTGATTATCGCGTATGCCTTGTGGGCCATGCATTGCACGTTTAACGGTACCACATGGAGCCCGACGCCGCCAGACCTGGTGCAAATGCGTGCTTTGCAACATCAGCAAAATCGGTTCATGGCGACTAACGCGAAGATATCGCGACCATTTACACATTATCACAGTGTGCAGTATTGAACGAAATATCCCCGCCATCTTCCACTGGTGCCTTGTTGTCAATGACAATAACAGCACACGATATTCCTAA